CACAGAGCTGTTCTGGGCTTCCGGGGAACAGCATGGGCATTGAAGCAGGGGTGGCGCCGAAAGAGAGGTCGCTCGAGGGGCCCGAAACTTCCGATGCCCGGCGAGAGGCATCGACTCAAATCGAGCTCCGTAGCTGCCTGATCCCGCTTGCTGCTCCGCGCGGGATCCTGGAGCGGGAAGCGATACTTTTGCGCTGTCTGGTCGTTCCCGTGCGGGGAATCGCTCGCGCGCGGTCAGAGTTCCCGAATTCCGTCGATCGGCGACGGGCGACGGTCTATTCCTCGCGGCGCCGGCGGCTGTCGCAAAGAATGCTGATTGTGGGTCGTATATGCGCGAGAGTTGCACCATCAGAGATCGCATCATGGGAACTATAGACGGATGAGTGTAGAATTCGGAGCTGAGGAAAGTCCTCCCGGGCCCCGACGGAGATCTTGGCTCATTCTCGAGTCCAGCAGTGGTCTGCGCCGACGTGCGCCGCCTCAACATCACGCGGGCGACTACTGGTTGAATAGCACGGGAAACTTCGGCGAGCGCGCCAGACGGAACCAATACAGCGTGCCTCGTTCTCGGAAGACATATAGGTAATGTGTTACGAACAGGATCGTGGGCTGGAATTCTCGACATGAGGGACGGAATCAATGCGAGGTTGACCGGTGCTCGGGCTTCATCGGGGGGCTCTTGAGATCGTTTGTCTTCCCGTACTAGGCTGAAACTCTATCGAAAGTTTATCGCTTCCGCAGAGAACCCTGGATACACATGTACCCTCACGGACGCCAGCCGCACGAGTGAGCGCGAGGGATCGACAGGACCAGGATTTCGGGCGTCCCAAAGCTTACGCACGTGGCACCCTTGTGAAACTACAGCAGAACACCTCCAACCTCTGAATGATACACCGAGTCGCGACAGAATCTGACCTCCCCAGCTCCCAATGATTCTCCACGATTCCCTTGGATCTGATTGGGGGGAGATTTCTCGGTATCAGACAAGGAGTCTCTCCTTATAAACAGGATTGATATCAATAGGTGGTAGCTCAGAGGCTATCGGTCGTGTCCTGGCTTTCGCGAGCCCCTGAAGACATCGGCGTTCCTCCACTGGAAACCGGCACCGCCCCTCTCCTCTCGTTTCAACGCGGAGAGAAGAGTCCCCGCAGCACACATGCACGCCCCCTCATCACGCACAAAAACGCCAGCGTCAAGGAGCGGAAACGCAGGAGCGGTGAAGCTGATCTTGAATTAGGATGACGTTTATGAACCGTAGAATTTTACACATATCTTCTCTGTCTCATAGCAGCTTTCGAGAGTCGACTTTGCGCCCCGCGGAAAGAAGTTTATCCCAGAGCCCGTCGGCTGCTGTGAGCCACGAAGTGTCGACCTCGAGTTTGCCGTTCCTTGAGTTGCGGCTCCCGAGCGCGAAGCTCCTCAGGTCCGTTCGGGTCACTCCATCGTAGGTTCTATCATTGGGGCTAGGATTTATATGCAGAATGGATTGTGGAACAAACACGAATTGTGCATGCAAAATATGATCCGGGCTCTTCCTTGTGTGAAAGCATTCAAAAAGAGCTATGGATCGGTCCTAATGAGAATGACCGAGGAGTCACTCTTGAGTTCACAAAATTCATTAAATGCGATAGGGTACTAGGCTTTGCATAAAAACCGCATGTTTCATGAAAAACCGCGGTTAGTCGCTGTGTCCCATGAGTCCCATGTTGGAGAAGAAACGCAATCGCGGTTAATCACCGCGGTTGCAAAGCCTAATAGGTACTGATAAGGAGAGTAAATTGAACATATCGGGAAGGGAGTCCCGCAAAGCGTGCAAATCACGTTCATATGCAGTCGCACATAAATCTCTGCCCTGCTCAGGACTCGTCTCGGAAGCATCGAGCTCAGCGATGCCTACCTGGCTGGAGAAGCAGACGCCCATAACTCCGGGATTTCCGCTTGACGGATAGATCATGCACACGGCGTACCCTTTCAACGGTTTGCATGACCAGTCGGGTCCTAAGTTTCAGCCAGGCCCCTCTCTCTTGCAGAGGATAATCCTGCTTTCTTTCGGGACCTTCCTCCGTTCTGTACGCAAATCCCGAAAAAAGACAGCCCTCGCACCGACTTTCCTGACCTCTGATCTTAATGAGGAGTCTATAGCGTTTCTGTGGCTCGTCCAGCGAATCTGGGAGCTCTAGTAAGTCACGCTCAGTCGCAACGAATTTTGATAGCGTCCGTACTGACGCGACGAGCGCTGAGTCATTTCGCCCCTGAATCGAGGCCTCGGAAATCGACATCATTCGGCAAATCCTTTGGCGCGAACTGTGTCCCCGCGAAGTGCTGCGGAAGCATTCACCCGATACCGAGCGGGAAGTAAAGTGAATCAAGAGCACCACCGTCGCCGACTCTACTCTCACTCGTTCAGACGTGGATCGACGAAATCCTATCGAGTCAGCGTTGATGATGAGACATGAGTGTAGCAGAACTATCAATTCCAATGGCGGGGAATTTTCTCCAGGATCTCCGTCTCGCGCGGTCTGCGGCGATCCGGTTGGGAGGCTGAGTCCTTGAACCTCTTAACTTCTTGATGTCTTGACTAGCCTTTCATCCGAGCCCGATCCGGGGCCTTCCAAGCTCGGTACGTTGCCGAAGAGAATGATGCTGATTATGACCGGATGGGGTGTTGATGGCGATTCGCCGTCTTCACCATTCCTAATGCGTCGTCCGGAGATGGTACATCTCGCTGCTCATGCCGCCTCCCTCTCCGTGATAGCTCAATCACGAGTGTTACCGATGGGCTTGACTTTCGATGAGAGGAACAGCGGAGTGGAATGATCTACCATGGTATACTACTGGGCGACGACGACGAAGAATTGCCTTTCACTAACGAAGAAGTTCACGCATTACTCCAATGTAAAAAGAAGCGTAAAGCAACCGGCCCGGACGGAATCTGCTACGAGCACCTCTAAGCCCATCCCTTTACCACAATCCCGATACTCACGCGCCTATTCAACGGTCGCCTCGAGGACGGCAATTTACAAGAACGGGAGTCCACGTCGTAGACCGGGAAATATGATAAAACCACGGACTCACACAAGGAGACCCCGCTAGCCCATTCCTTTTCGTACTATGAGCGTCGAAATCGGCGGATATCCTGAGGAGAAAAGAGGCCAAGTTCGCCTTCTTTGCCGACGACCTGGTAATCCTTGCGAATGACAGACAGCGCCTACAATCGTACATAAGAAGGGCGATAGAATGGAGCGACGAATATTGAGTCGAAATCAATACGGAGAAAGCGAAAGTGATGAGATTCAGCAACGGCGGATCTTACACCAAGGACGACGGGAGAATATCATTGAAGAAGTCAAAAATAGAACTAGTAGGCAGCTTTTGCTACCTTGGAGTAACTCTCAC